ACCTTATATTTGTTTAGCACAATTTAAAATTCTTATTCTAAAGAAAGATAATAATCTTTGAATAGTAAATTAAAGTGAGAAAAGGCATTGTGAAAGTTCTTACATTGTATATTTTCAATTGTTTGTGTGTTTGCAAGAAGGTTCCTGGCCAGAGTTAATGCTGTTTGTGGGGCCATGGCATGAAAAGGTTTGGGAACTCCTCATCTAGAATGTAATTACAGTCAGATGAAGCAGATTTTATGTTAAAATAACCTGCCATACATCTACAGACTGAGTGACAAACTGATGTGCCACTGTGCTTATGTATTACCCAAGCAGAAAGTAGTTCCCTCCAACCACAAGTGATTTAGACATGATTTGAATAGTTTAGTGATTTTCTACTATTTTCCTGTTAATGATATACATTATGTGAAATAACTAAAGTATCAAAGTATCAATACTTTGAATTTAGTATTGATTCTAGAGCATAAAGTTCTGGTATTGGTAATGATATTTCAGTATCAGTCTGCACATCACTAGTGGAAGGAGAAACATAGAAGCACACTTGGCGGTCTGTTTAAAAACTATTTTATTTTTCTATCAGCAGTTGACAATAGCTGGTTTGTGACTGGATCAGGATGATAGAACAAGATTTATACATGATGAATTCAGATGATTGGACTCTGGTGTCTGACAGAAAGGGGCGTGGAACAAACCATATGCTTCTTAGTCAGAGTAACAAAAGAAAATGGGAAGAAATAAGTTCGGATGAAKGAGACAGGAATGCTCGTAGAAACCCTAACCCTAACCCTAGAAAGGTTGGAAGAGAGGAGTTCAAAACAATAATGAAACTGAGGAAGAAGGATGAAAATATCAATATCAGCCCAATAGCATTATCCAGAGAAGTGAAGAACAAAATAGGTGATGTGGAAATTTCCAAAACCTTGAGGGATGGAAGTTTACTGTTGATATGCAAAACAGAAGAACAGAAGAATAAAGCAATGCCTGYGTAAAAAAGTGATGTTTGAGAAATGAGTTCTCATGAGGGGTAATAAATGGTCAAAAAGAAAAAATAAGTAGGTCCTCTGGATGGGTTCTTATTTAGTGAAACATTTCAAAGATCCAGTTCCCCGGCAAAAACAGAGTAATATAGTGTATGCTGTTAAGTGTCAGGAGGAGCAAAAACAGAGTAATATAGTGTATGCTGTTAAGTGTCAGATGGACTGTGATCAGTCATACATTGGGGAAACAAAGCAGCCACTGTTCAAAAGAAAGAGCCAGCACAGACGAGCTACATCGTCGGGTCAGGACTCTGCAGTTTACACTCATCTACAGATCAGGACTCTGCAGTTTAAACTCATCTACAGGTCAGGACTCTGCAGTTTACATTCATCTACAGGCCATGACTCTGCAGTTTACACTCATCTACAGGCCAKGACTCTRCAGTTTACACTCATCTACAGGCCATGACTCTGCAGTTTACACTCATCTACAGGTCAGGACTCTGCAGTTTACATTCATCTTCAGGCCAGGACTCTGCAGTTTACACTCATCTACAGGCCAGGACTCTGCAGTTTGCATTCATCTGCAGGTCAGGACTCTACAGTTCACACTCATCTACAGGCCAGGACTCTGCAGTTTACACTCATCTACTGATCAGGACTCTGCAGTTTACATTCGTCTACAGGCCAGGACTCTGCAGTTTACACTCATCTACAGGCCAGGACTCGTACAGTTTACACTCATCTATGGTTAAGGACTCTGTAGTTTACACTCATCTACAGACCAGGACTCTGCAGTTTACACTCATCTACAGGCCAGACCTCTGCAGTTTACACTCATCTATAGGCCAGGACTCTACAGATAACACTCATTTACAGTCCAGGACTCTGAAGTTTACACTCATTTACAGGTCAGGACTCTATAGTTTACACTCATCTACATGTCAGGACTCTGCAGTTTACACTCATCTACAGGCCAGACCTCTGCAGTTTACACTCATCTATAGGCCA